AGAGTATTTTGAAGGATTTGTCTGAACAGACTGATTGTATTTCGGACATAAAATACTGCCATCCATCCACTGGAGATTCCTTTTAGATGAACAAATACTATCCCCAATTTTTCTAAACGCTGTGCTACTTATTTCAGATAATTTTCGGCTTGGAAATATTCTTTTTTTAGGAAAATAAATTTAATTTATTTGCCATATCTTCAGCTTCGTTGGGTATACCCCCAGAATGTACCCTTTCATTCCTTTAGTCTCAAATCGAATACGAAACAAATATGTTTCATTGTGCAAACATTTTTGTACGTAATTTGTGGGCGTATTTTTTGTTTTTTCATGTGGACACAGGACACTGTTTGCACGGCTTGATTAATTAAACGAGCAGAGAATCCTTTGGCGGCCACGGGCCACCCACCAACATAGCGCGCATCTGTGCGAGTACGTGAGATTTTGATATATGATTGGGGCATCGGGCATCGGGAATTGGGGGCCGGGCACCGGGCCGGAGGGAGAGCTCGATCGTTTGGGGATCCCGTAATGGGGAAATGCTGGCGATCAATTTGCTTGGGTCTGGCATTTCATCGCATGATAAATGACAAGTTTCCTGCTGCTGCACTCTCCACAAGGAGCCTTTGGCTTGTATTGTTTGTCATATTCAAATGCCAAAATATTGTCATTATCTGACATTTTTCGCCGGCCCATTGTTTGGGATCATTTGTCTTTGGCATTGACTCTCGTACGCGTACGCGTACTCCGCGTACCTCCGGGGTGGCCGCCGTTTGTATCTTTTGGCTAATGCATTTCTGGCCGCTCTTTCGCTCCAGCTACACGCTTGTGGTTGTTGTTGCATTTCAATTAGACGGAATCCGCATTCGAGGCGGGGTCGGGTCCCCGACTCCCCATCCGCGACTCGTCGTCGTCGTCGGTGTCGTCGGTGTCTTTGGGCTTTGGTTGCTTAACAGCCTTGCGGTGTCTTGACCCGCGGTTCAAATTAATAATTGTTTTTCCTATCGACTCTCAGCCGGCTGCAGAGACACCTCAATGACATTTACATAAAAATAATGTTCGTTTTATGGCCGGGCACATAGGTATTAATAAGCACAAAATAATGTTAATAATGTCATCAATGCGGCAGAGACTGAGGCAGAGGTGGGGGCGGGGGCGGAGGCGGAGGAAGACCTACCGCTGCGAGGAGTCCTAGCTCTCACCGGCTCTCCCATTCATGGCATAATTTCCATAATAACAATAATATATTTATGATCTTTTGGATATTGGTCATAAACGAAATTTCAATTCATTTGCCTGTTAACAAATTAAAGTTTTAATGGCGGCAATTGCATCCGGAGACCGGACCCCACCCGAAAAGGCGCCGCAGCTTGGGAGGACCCTAGAGCCAGGGCCAGAGCCAGAGCCGCAGTCGGAGTCGGAGTCGGAGCCTCAGATACTTGTCATAGACGTGCGACATTGCCCATTAGCTGGGGGTTCGATATCTGGTTATTCAACTGCCAGGTTTATGAGCCATTGATGGCCAGCGGGAGAGGGAGATGGAGAGGTAGAGGGAGAGAGAAGCCCGTGTTGACCAACTCAATTAGCGGAGCATTGAGAGCAGTTAGCGGACGGCCAACTAACAGCTAAAAAGGTGCAAATCGCCGGCCAAACAAAGGCGCAAGCAGCGTGGCAATTAGCAGGCAACAAATTGAACACACACTCGCGGACTTGGTCACAATGGGAGTCGCAAATATTTGGCCAGATCTAAGCGCCAGGGATGTGCGCTGGGAAAGGGGTCTCTATCGGATGGGATGGGATCGAATCGGATGGGGCATACGCAGGCCGATCAAATGCGTTGAGTCAACATAGCATTGACGTCTCGAGTTGACGGCTTCGCGGATGCTGATGCTGATGATGATGATGATGCCGAGGCCTAGCTTGGCTCTGGGACTCTGGGACTCTGGTATGGGTCTCCACCTCCTCTTTCTGGCCATGTTGGCGTTGACTTCTGCTGAAAATCCAAGCCAAGTGTGCTGGGCATTTGAATGTTTGTTTAGGCTGTGCCTGAGACTCGGGCTGAGATGGCAGGCAGCCCATAATGTGAGATGAGATACTCTTGCGAGATACTCCTCATGCCATTGGTAGCGCCAGAGCGGGAGCCAGAGCGGGAGAGCGGTAGAGCGAGAGAGCAGCACTTGGAGCGCCTGTCTGTTGGCCATAATTGAGTGCACTTTCCATGGAACTGGCAGCAGCGATTATGAAATGCCAACAGCCACAGAGCACCACTGACAACTCTCTGTAACTGGGACTGCGGACTGCGACTGCGACTGCGGACTGCCGCTGCAAATGGCGTACATCAGAGGCTCGTAATCGTAATGTTTAAGTATTTTATATTCCATTTGATGGGGCTAGGGGGTAGGGGGTAGGGGGCTGGGGCACTGACTTCAGTTTCCATTTCAGTTTTCGCAGTCGCATTCGCATTCGCATCGGGGATCGTAAATCAATTGATAAAACGAAGCGGAAACAAGTGGCAGCTCCAATTGCCGGGGAATAAATCTAGCGAATGCCGCCACCAAACACACATCCAGATTCGACATTTACTAGACTCGCGGCGGCAATTAATACTACAAAACTGCAAAATGCACCACACACCACCCCAAAAATGCAATTAGCGATGTGTATGACACGTGTCCGAGGATGCCCGCGATATCCAAGGGGGGGTGGGGGACTCCACTCCCCATCTCAGACAGCGCCTTCAGATTCAGATTCTGTATTCTGTATTTTGTATTTGTAGTCAACGTCAAAGGCGCATAAATCACGTACTGCATGGATGCTGCGGCAGGGGATGCGCCCACACACAGCCCGGAACGGCCGGGCAGGGGCATGCGGCTTGGGGAGGCCTCTGACTTATGGAGCATATGTGTTTTTTTGTGGCTTTTTAATAGCTCGCTCGATGGATCGCATCCCCTTGCCATACCATCCACTTCCATCTGCATCTCCATATATCCATCTGCATCTTCAGTCGCGACTCCAGAGCCAAATGCTCCCTACATTGTATGCGCAATTGGAATGCCATTCCATTCCTTTTGGCTGTCTGAAAGTGAAATTTAGTGTGTCACTTGGCAATTTCTGCTAATTAGAAGTGTTGAAAGTGTTTGCTTTGATATCGAAACGAGCAAAAACTAATGAGAGAGGCGGCCGAATACCCTTCAGCCCAAACTCCCATCCGACAGAAGAGAAAGTTCTACCTTGCCCAGCGATTTGTTGACCCCATCGCTGTACTATGATATCTATATACAATACGTAATCGATTGGAGTTATACAGATAATTGGTCATTGCTTTGATGGCCCAACTAAAATACACTCAATTACCTATGCGATTACTCACTTAAACACGCTACGTCCCATGAAAGATAGAGTCGTGAGCGGCGGTTACCCCACAATCAAGCCGATGAATCAATATACTTAGGCTAAATGATTCATTAGAGGGGATGGCTATTAAAATTCATTGAATGAGTACTTTGAAATTTGATAACTCCCCCAAGGAAAGGGTATTCAAAGTAAAAGCCAAATCTGAATGGATCCCCGCTTTTATGTGATTCGATTCGCAGCTAAACGATTGCCGCACACACGAATATCTATAAAAAGTCTGACAGATTGGGGCAGCGCCTGTGTGTGTGTGTGTGTGTGTGTGTGTGTGTGTGTGTGGGGTGTGTATTGCTAATGGGTAAATTGTCTAATTGGTTCATTACGTGCACAAATGGATTTGCGCCTCTGTAATACGGCTGATTTAAATCCGCCTTGAGAGACATGCAAGCTCCTCTCTTGCCCTCCTCTGGTCGATCCTCAAGTTGCTGCAATTAGCGTTTGGTTTGGCATCGATTCATATGTAGGCAGGCAGGCAGCGATGATCGGATCGACGGGCATATACATCAACGCCTGCCAGTAAATGTCAGCTGCCCATCTACCCAGAGATCCCCGAGAGCCCCGAGATCCGAGGGATCCCCGAGATCTATGCACATTTTCGCGTTTTCTGCATTTATTTTCAGCAAATTAACGCCGCTCACTGCGAGAACAGCGGTCTAATAAATCATTTGATGTCGACTCCCTGCGGCTTTTCCTCTCTTTTTGATGGTCCGTCGCGTCGCGTCGCGTCGGCGGGGCCTGGGTTCTCTGTTGTCTTCTCGCAGATATTTGTTTATATGAAAATTTTGTCTTTAATTAAACGGAATGGCAGTGGCCAATGCTGTTGCCGTCACTCAAGACAGACGAGACCCCGATTTTGATACTGATTGTGCAATTAGCGGCATTACTTAGTCGCGCGCCTCCCCCCCATCACCCCCCCTCTGGTCTGGTGACAGGATTTACATGATTCAAAATTCCGCCGGCCTTTGATCTGACACTTTGGGAATGGGGGAAATAGGTCTGGGATGAAACTCCCTCCCCCTATAAAATAAATCGTTTTCTTTTCTGTTTTAACATTTTTTAAATCTTTTTTTTATTTAGTTTTTTTTTTGTGGTTTTTCTTTCTTGATTTTAGCACATGTATTTTTTGTTAAATATTTTGTATCTTTTCTGTGCGTTTATTGGATCCATAACACTTTGCAGACTTAACGACTAAAAATACTCTGTTCTGTCATAGCAATGCAGTCCTCGGGGGACTGCTGTGGTGTTTAAACTAGGATTTAAGCTAGGGAACAGTTAAGTTACTTAATTTACAGAGATTACATAGGCGATAGAGAACTGTATATAGCGTACATATATAAAGTAATTTTCCACTATATCTTTGTGTAGGAATAAACGCTTGAAAGTTGAAGCTTTTGTGTTAGAAGAATATAAAATTTCGGATCGATCGGATACGGGATATCCGATAGCTGCTTTCCGATTTCTATCTTCGGATGGTTAAATAAATACGCCAACAACTTACATATCGAATTCGCTAGAGATACTTATGGTTTATATGCTAATGTATAATAGATGATAATATATTACAATTATATCACATGAGAACCTTTTGTACCCTCCTCCGCCCCCCCTGCCGTTTGTATTGCACACACCCCCGCTCTGTTCGCCGGCCGACCGATTGCAGCCCCTTTTTAGGGGATCTGGCCGTTCATGCGCATCTCGAGCTCCTCCTCCTCTTTGGTCAGTGGCACCGTCGTGTGGTTGTACAGTCCCTGGGCCATCAGCTGGAGGGCCAGGGGGTTCTTGGAGCCGTTGGACTTCTTGATCTTGGCCCGCTTGTTCTGGAACCAGATCTTGATCTGGGCCTCGTTCAGGCCCAGCTCTCCGCTCAGCTGCTGGCGTCGCCGTTCGGTCAGATAGCGATTCTCGTTGAACTCCCGCTGCAAGTAGAAAGATCAGAGAGGAGTCTGGGATGAGTACAGAGGCACAGAGATACGGATGGGATCTACTATGGGAGGCTGGTAGGTAGGTAAGGCAAATCAATTATTTGCGGTTTGAGTTGAAAGAGGCACCCCGAAGACAGACTGCCAGTAGATGGAAGTCCGGGTGAGATATGAGCGTGTCTAATTGGTTAAGTACGGACCGGGGACAGGGGACCGGGGACCGGGGCAGGACATGCGTTTGCCAGGATGCAATCGCCGCGGGGGTCTCGGAAAATATGTGTAAATATTTTGGTGCAAATATGACACAACAAGGGATCTATGGCTTCCACATGGGTCTGTGTGAGTGCTTGTGTGTGATGCTTACCTTGAGGCGGGCCAATTGCTCGCTGGAGAAGGCCGTGCGAGGCCGCTTCTCGTCATTGGTCTTGTCCTTTGGCTGTTTGGGGCGGCGGTAGCGGGGTCCTTTAAGTAAAAGAGAAAACGGAGTTTAGTTTTTGGCCGCATTTGCATAAATGTCTCACATGTGATTAATAATATTAATGATTTAATTAGCATATGCCTCTAGACCCCTAGTCGGAGCTCTTTCTTTCGCTATTTCCCAGTTTCTTGCGTGATGGCGGGGAAGTGTTCAATTTGTCAGCTGTCAGAGGGCTCCCGGGCGGGTCTAACGAGCTCGGGTCTCGGCCTCGAGTCCGGGAATGTGCCAGGCAGACAGGCAGGCAGGCAGGCAGGCAGGCAGGCAGGCATATTTTAGGCAAATTTTCAGCCGTCTAATTAGTGGTGTTCTCGGTTCTCAATCTAATTGGCAGTGCGAACCATCCACGATAGATGGATAGATAGATAGATAGATAGGGAGAGTGACTGTCAAAGTGCTTATTAGATTTCCACACATTGTAAATTATAATTAAATTGACTCGAAGCGGGATGATGCTTTGATTAATTCCCATCGAGCGGCAGAGGCACTCCACTCTGCGATAATCTGACTGGCTATCAACGCCTCGTTTATGGGATGCCATCGATTGCATCCACACCAAATTAAAAAGCCATTTCCACTCATAAAAAAGCACTTAACTTGTCAATTAACACAGACTCTAAGAAGAAACCAAAAGAAAAAAAAAAAATGGAAAATCGGGAAAAGCGGAGACGGAGGGAGAGTAGAGTTTTCCTGCGTCTCTCCCTCTTTTGTGTGTGTGTGCCCCCGTACCCGTCACCGTACCCGTCCCCGTCAATCGTCAGCACATTTTAGGTTCCCTGCGGCCCTGTGGCGTGTGTGCGTGACTCCTGACCTTCGAGCTACGATCTTCTGGTAGTGTACTCCCACTCCCACTCCTATTCCGCTTCCTTGTCGGCGATAAGCAAACGCTGCCTGCGCCCCATGTTGTCACATAAAGTGTCGCCTCTTCAAACGGAGCGCTGCACTGCGTGCGGCCCTGAATCGGAATCGGATTCGGATTCGGATTCAGAGTCCAAGTCCAAGTCGATGTTGAAATTGAAGTCATTGTCATTGTCCGCGTGTCTCCTAATTGTTGCAGTGTCCTTCGAATTTATGACCCAAAACAATGCTGGATAAAAGACTGCCGCTCCTTGGGGTGGTCTCCGCGCGTAACGTGATCCCGTTCTTATGTGTCGCATAGAATCTAGTATTCCTTTGTGGACTGCGGAACCATCTTTAGGCAGTTCCCCCTCTTCACACTTTATTGATATATCTACTAACCTGAGCTGGGACGATCGCTGTAGCGGGTGCAGTAGACCCAGGCGGGCCACATCTCGTTCTTGCCGCCTTCGGTGGTCGTGGAGCCCGTCTCGGAGCGGGTGTCGTCCGAGGACTCCATGCCAGAGTCGCGGCTCACGGCAGAGGGTGGTGGAATCGGCTGGGGCTGGGGACTGCTGGCGTTGGCCGCTGCACTGCCTCCCAGGCGACTGCTGGGCGAGGAGTTCAGCGAGCTGGGGGCCGAGGAGCAGCCCGAGGAGCTGGAGGATGAGGAGCTGGTGGCCGTCGAGGTGGAGCTGATAGTGGAGGCATTCGAGGCGGGCGGTGGACTGGCCAGGTTGTTGGCCAGGCTGCTGGAGCTGCTCAGCTGCGGGGGCAAGGTCGTGGTCGTTGTGGGCTGGCCGATTTGGGAGACGGTCTTGCAGAGCGAGCCCAGGGCGGACTTTTCAGCGCAGGACTCGCTCATCTTGGAGGCCGGAGGGATCACCGTGTTGGCGGCGCTCCGGCGCAGACGGCTCTGGACAATCTCCTCGTGGATGCGCGGGTAGGCGGCCGGGTTGAAGCAATTGAGGAAGTTAGCCCGCTCGATCATCATGGCGGCGGTGGCTGCGGCAGCCGCCGCCTGCTGCTGCCTACTGAACTCCAGAAGATCCACCCGCGTGAAGGCGGAGGGCGTGGCAGCGGCTGCTCGGCTGGCCTCGAAGGGGCGGAAAATGCTGGCCTGGGACTCCAGCGAGGCGTTTGGGGATCCTGGCTTCTTTAGTGTCTGCTGCTTGGGTGCTGCGTCTCCGAAGCGGTCGCTGAGGATGTTCGAGATGGAGAAGGCCAGCGAGGGCTTGGCCGTGGACTGCTGGTGGGCCGGCGGAGGCAGGCGTCCTGCGGCAGTATCGTCCACATCCACATCGATGTCGTCGTCCTCCTCGTCCTCGGTGGCCGTGCCGTTGGTGGTGTGGGTCTGGTTGTGGAAGCTACCGTCGCCCATGATGGAGTCGCCCTCCTCCTCCTTGATGGTCAGCGGCGTGGACGAGGCGGGGGTCGAGCAGGAAGCAGGCGATCCGCTGGCGCTCAGGCGCTGCTGCAGTGCAACGGCGTGGGCGGCGGCTGCCGCTGCCTCGAAGGCCACTGCCGGATGGGGGAAGACCCCGGCGCTGGCAGCAAGCTGCTGCTGGTGGAGCTGCTGGAGCTGCTGCAGCTGGTGCAGGTGCTGCAGCTGTTGCTGCTGCTGATGGTAGAGCGCGGCCACCGGCGCTGGTGGCGGGCTCTGCTGGGGATGGTGCTGCAGACTCATGTCGAGGGCGGTGGCGGAGATGCTGGTTACGGCGTAGTGCGGGTGACAACCTGGTGGGCTGGGCGCTGTTTGTGGACTGCAGCGATCCTCAAGGGCCATTTGTTGGGAACCACGGAGCCACGCACTTGTCTGTCGCTGGACGGGACACTGCACTGTCTCTCTAGTCGCACTGTCTACTGCCTTAGTCACAATTCGCGATGCACTTGGCTCTGTTTTCGTTTCGTACTCTTTGTTGTTTTCGTACACTCTCTACACTCTGCTACGCGCACCGCACGTCTGTTCTGTTTGAGCGCAACGAGAAAATTAACTAATCACTGCTGCCGGGCTCGGCGACGAAGCAGCGACGAGCAGCGGCCGAGCGACGACGAGCCGATTGAACTGTCAGCTGAGCGCAGGTCGGAGCGAGCGAGAGAGAGCCAGTCCGAGGCGGGCCGGGGCGTGCGCGAGACAGAGCGAGCACTACTATGCAGCAGAAGAGTGGTGCAGGAGTGAGTGACAGACAGCAGCCCCTGTGTGACAGTGACGATGAAGAGACACGGTGGAATAGAGACTCTGAACTGGACTGGACTGCTGATCGATTTTCCTCTCTCTCGGAGCGGCGTATGGCGTATGCTGATGTCGATGCTGGCCACGGGCCCGTTGTCACCTGCCAGAGCAAACCGACAGCAAATGCTCGCGAAGCTAACCGGTTTCGCTGGCTCGCTCACTCCGCCTTCGCCACCCCTCGGCCCCTCATCACCCGCCCTCCACCGCACTCACACACACCCGCTTCGATGCTTTTCTGAGGCCTTGTTAGGCCCCGATATGACTTTATTATGCGCGCGCTGGAGCTGTCATGCGGTTGACAACTGTGTCGCCAGCGTTTGCGTCTGCGCTGCTCTCTCGCTCTCTCTCCGCGGGGGCGTTGCCTCGGAGCGTGTGTATAGCTGTGCTGCTCGCACTCGTGCTGGCTTACCAAGGAAAATGGCTGACTGTTTGTTTTCTTAGTTGATTTGTCAGTTGTTCTCTCCATCTCTCTCTCCCTCTCTCTCGCTCTGTCCTTGTTGCACACTCTCCGCGAGAGGGAGAGAGACCTTTCATAAGTATTTAGTTTTTGTTGATTTTGTTTTCGGCCGCGACGTTTCAATCTGCGTCGACGAGTCGGCGGCCTACAACTTTATCGACACCCATGAGTGGCATCGTGAGAGGGGAAATGCGGTGTGGTGTGGTGTGGCAGCCACTAATTGTTATAATTTAAATAGGAGCCCTGTCACACCCCCTCCCTGCCCAGCCAGGCCACAAATCGCTTGCGATTTCTCACAAAAACATGCCAAAAATATCATCAATTTGGGTATGCTTGCAACAATCATGATTGGCAACAATTAAACGGTTTAATGTTCCATCTCGGCCTCCATCGTAGGCGACTGACGCAATGTGGCCATTGATTGGTATTTAATTGAATTTTAATTGATATTTTGAAGCTTTCTGCTATTGAAAATCAATTCGAAAACCAATCCAATGTGAACCAACAAAAACTATCGGAAATACATGAACATATTATATCATGCTTACCCTTCAAAACCGACTCGAAAAGGTGTTAGAAATGAACGCCATTTGGCATTGGGATCGGGCCGCCACAATGGGAGTCGCGTCGCGGGGCTCTAATCAGCCGCCGAATCTTCGAAATGCGAAACATGTGCTGCCAGATTCCGTGTATCTATCCCCTGATATATGGCACATAAATCACATAAAAGCCAATTCAAACACTAAAATCGCTAATGAATTGCCTTATATTGGGGATTGCTGCGACTGGAATTATTTGTGGTGTTAATTTTGCATAATAAAAGCATCGCCTCGATTGAGATTCGATTGAGATTCGATGGAGCTGGCGATGGCGATGCCATCCGTGGTGGGCATGTGATTTACGGTCTATCCATGTTATGGCGCAAGTATTTCGGATAAGTGGCAAGGATTTAATTATAGAATAATCAGTGGAGCCACTCCCCCGCCAGCCCACTCGTTTCCGGTTGCCATTTGCCATATTCCCAGGTGACATAATCAATGGCTATCCCATCCAAATTTGGAGCAGACAATCGCTCGATCGAACCTGTTTCGAATGGCCACAATTTATGCCAATATTATGCGCATTTTTATTTAAATTTTAGATAAATAAATAAATATTTAACAATATATTCGAATACTACAATATTTTGTTTGTGTCTCATTCTCACACATTCCAGCCGAGAGCCATTGAAATTCAAACTGGGGAAAACTGGAAATGTACTGGAACGGAACTGGAACGCGGCTCTCTCGCTCTCGCTCTCCCGATCTGGAGCTGTTCATTTCCCCTTTCGAAATTCGAACACTGCTGTGGCTAGCTGTCCCGCTTGCACACAACCCTCTGTCTCTCTCTCTCTCTCGCTCGCTCGCTCACTACATCAGTCATGCTCTCTTTGCTCTCTCACGCATGACATCAATGGCTGCTCTTCTCTACTGTGGTGTTGTTGCTGTTTCTGTTGCTCTCCAATGCCGTCGGCAGCTGTTGATTTTTCCGCTCAACGCGCCCAACCACACTGACAGCCCACCCCACGCCCTTGCAGCGCCCTGCTTTCCGCTTTGATTGCCATGATTTTCAATTATTACCGTTGTCGTGTTTGTTCAGCATTTGACGCGACTGCAAACCGCAGAAGGGGTGGGGGGGGGAGGGCTAAGACCCGCCGACAGTTGCGTTGCGTTGCGTAAAAATGCGTTAATTAAAGTTTTCAACTTGTTTTCTGCCACTGCCACTGCCACTGCCTTCTGCTCTGTACGGCTGCTGCTTTTGATTGTGTTTCGAGTTTTGGGCTGGCTTTGCCCTTAATGATAATGATCGTGTCCGTCCGTCTGTCCGTCTGTCCGTCTGTCCGTCCCTCTGTTTGGATAAAATGGTAACTGCTAATGAGCTTTGCCCATCCATCCACCCGTTTTTGGCTACTGTTTCTTTTCCCCTGCTAATGATTTTCCACGTCTAAGCGCTGCAGGGCAAACAAAAGACTGAAGAAACAAACTTGATAGAGTGCCAAAACATATCAGAGAGACAAAAAAAAAGGGAAATCATCATCGTCTACTGTTCGATAGGTTTTCCCTTCGAAAGCTGCTTCCTTGCTCCTTTGTGGTGTATCCTGTGCGATTGCAATTACATCTCATTCCCATCGTACAACTCAATTGTATCTGTAGCAGGTCGCTCTCAAAAACTGGAAATGTAAGTTGTATTGGAAGTGGAACTGGAACCGTAACGGGCACTGGACATACACGTAATTAAGTAAATGTATTGTCGGGGTCACCACTGGAGCTGGAGCTGGAGCTGGAGCTGGAGGCAAGCCGAAAACACATGTCTGTCTGCGCTTCAACTCCCTTCCCTCACGTCGGACATTTAGCCCAAACGAAATGGTTTATCTCCGCTTCACAGTTTTCCCTCTTTCTCTCAGACTTCGAACTGGAACTGAGTCTTGGATGGGGAGGGGGGACTGGTCTGGACCTGGGTCTGGGTCTGGAACTGGGACTGGGACTGTGGTAATTTAAAATTCATATTTTACACAGCAAAATGCGTAAATGCGTAAATCCGTGCGATGTGCGCTTGTGCTGAGTGGCGGCGAGTGGCGGGCGAGAGTTATTAATGGACACACATGCGAGTCCGCATATAATATGGGGTATTCCATTGCCCCTGGCCCCCTGGCCCCCTAGCCACTTGCGAGACAAATGAGTGGGTCTCTCTCCGTCATTTGCATACCCTACAAGTCCCGGGAAGCTGCACTGCGCTGCTGCTTCTGGGAACTACGGGAATATACGGTCTACCGGTGTAATCGGAAACTTTGATGAGACGAGAAAGATATACTATCTGAAGCAGCAGGGTTACCGAGTGCCTCCACTCGCAAGTGCCTCCACTTAGGAAGATGAACGGTTTCCGTAGGATATTTGATATATTTAGCATGATTTATGAGGAACATTTATCTAGATTTAGAAGGAATCCGATTTAGTTTCCTTTCTAAATTATTATTAGTATTTTCTTAGTGGGAAACTTTCTTTTGAGCCATCAGGTTAGTTGGATAGGGTATTCCAAGGCTGTGGCATTCCGTTCATCCTTCCATCTTCGAGCTCTGAGCGTTGGCTTTAATTAAAATTTAACTCTGTTCGTAAATCGTTTGTCAGTGATGGGGATGCCCTCCCATCACCCGTCCGCCATCACAGCACTTCCACCTCCTGTTGGCCCCCAGATACACTCTCCACCCTGCCGCCCTCCCTGCCACAGCACGCACAATGCCTCGGGACTTAAAACAATTTTTAATTTGTTAAAAATACATTTTTTTTGTTGGTTGTCGCCTTTGGTTGTTTCTGTGGAGTGGACCACGTTTAGGGTTAAATGTTAATGAACTTGTTGATTATAAATTTGACTACTTTATTTGCCCGCTTCGGAGGGGCCTAGGCCTGGGCCTGGGCCTGGCCAACTAATAGATCGCGCAGATTGGCCGAAACGAGTTTCATATTTATTGTTATACGAGTGTATCTGTGCGGCATCCCATTGCCGATTTTGATTATTATTAATTTATATACATATACGCCATTAGCAGCCCCCGGATGGCATTTCAAAAGTCCGAAAACAGACTCTCGAGAGTCGTAAGAATTTTATGACTTCATCTGCGGTTGGGGGGGCACTGTCTCTGGCTTTTGTCAAACGTAACTCGTTTTCAATCTGCTAAAAAGGGGCACCGGGGTGGGGGGGACCTGGCACTGGCTCTCGCTCTGGCCCCATCATTTAAGCTGGCCAATTTCCGCTGCAAAGCTGTAATTTGTCTAATTTGCCACTCGCCGCAAATGGGTTTTCTCAGCTAATTTGTTAATTTGCCTACGCTGTTGTGGCATTTGACTCCTCTCGCCCTCTCGCCCTCTCCCTCTCTCTCGCTCTCTCTTTCGTGCCCCCGATCGTTGAGGGCGCTAATTGGCCATAAGTGTTTAATATCTTATTTTATTGTTTAAACAATTTGGCGCGGTTTCACTGCAATTAATGTCTGCTGCGTCTGTCTGAATTTCACTTTTGTTTAAATCGAAAATTGTGTGGCATTTTCCCCCGCGGCTGGTGAAAGTTTTTCGATGGCAATCTTGACCTTTGCTGGTGTCCTAAGTCTGTTGTTCGACGCCCCCTTAATTGGGCAATAGGTGCTGGGATTTCCAGGAAAATCCCCGTAGCCCAATTGCATAAGCAGCCAGGATAGACTTAAGACACTTTTGGGTGTTTGCTTTGTGTGCGGTTAATCCAATAAAAACCTAAGCAAAGTCTTAGG